GTGGGGGGGGGGGGGGGGGGGGTTGCACCGACATCTGAACTGCTCCAGAGCAGCCCTGTCATCGTTCGAGCGAGTGTCGGCGGCAGATGCGCACATCTGCTTCCCGAGTTTCCTGCAGTGTGCGTTCCCGGCACCCAGAACGCCACGGCTGCCCCCCCGTCACCCTGCCCGGAGGGGACGCGGTGCCCCCAGTTTCTTCGTCGGGGGAAAAAGCCTGTGTGAAATCCAGCAAGAGGGCCCCGGGATAGGGTCTCAACTGGTAGGGGCTCCTCCCCACCCTTACCCCCTGCCCTGGCATTCCTCCGCTTCAGCCGGGCAGCCCTGCCTGCTTGTTTTGGCCGAGGGGAAAGCATCTGCCGCTGAGATAACTTCCGCTCTGGCTCCCGTCTGCGGTGCTCTCCCAGATCCGAATTGCACCGGCGGCCTTTTGTGGCAGGAGGGGAAAGCCGTCCGAGCAGGGGGAGCTGTAGGAGCATGAAGCCACCAGTGCTTCCCCGGCTGCTTGCTCCCCTTTCAGACAAACCAGCCGCAGCGCTTGGACATGCAGAAGGGAACGGGCCTGTATTAGGTCCTGTAATCCTTGCAGCTGTGCATTATTTTATTTTTTCCCCTGCATGTATTGTATTCCCCCCTCCCCATGCACCCCCCCAGAGTCGCAGCCCCTTCGCGTGAGGCTGGTTTGCAGGGAGACGGCGCAGCTGTGCGTAGGGGGTGTCAGACACGCAGCCATCTGGCTCTGGGTGGAAGGCTTATGTGCAAAGTTGGCTTCTTGTACAAACTCACCTGCTGGTTTGCTAAATAAAAGGCAGCGAGAAGCCCGCTCCCGCCGGTGCCTTTCCCCGGGGTGCCCTGGGAGGCGGGTGGGGATCCCCACCCCGTTCAGGCCAAGCTGACGACAAGGACAGGACTCAGCCTGGGTCAGGAGCTCACGTCTTGGGTGGACTCGGGCCGTTTGTGGGCTGGATGGTTTGACTCTGCCTCCATGCAGGGTAATTCTCTGCAGCATGTTGCACGCCCGTGGCTTCCCTGAAGCCTTGCCAGAGCTGTAGGGAATATGGCTGTGAGGTCATCAAGGGAGAAGGCAGGTGGATGTGCACCTTAGAGACTAATTAAATCAGAGATGCCTCTGTGTGGTGGTTGTATCAGGCCTTCTGCTCAGCACAGCCCGCCGGCACGGGTCAGAAAATAAAGCGTTGCTGCAGGGTGGGCACAGTGCAAGCCTGCTTTCCTTCCCCCCTAGCTCCTGGTTGCTGGAGCAGTAGCGGGGGTGCAAGGGCAGTGGTTTGTGGCGAGCTTATGGGCTATGATGGGTATCCAACCCCTGTGCCCCCCAGTGCAGACTGGCTCTAATCTGTCCTCTCGTGGGCAAGGCAGCGAAGAACCCGGCTTTTCTCTTACCATGTTACTTGGTCCTTTGAAACGGTGCGTCCGCGGCACGCAGGGATCGCAATGAGAGCTGTGGGATTAAATCACGTCAGTCAGAAGCTCCCGGCAGCTGCCCCTTGCCCTGTTTCCACCTGGAAACTAAAGCTGCTTCACTCTTAGACCCCTTCTAGAGGCCTCAAGACCGAGTCATGCCCTCTCCTGGTGGGGCTGGCTGCCTGGACAGCTGCTCGAGTTTGTCATCGGCCTCGGTCTGCGTAACAGCCTGCCTGTCTCTCTGCACCCCGTCAGCCCCCGGCTTGCGTCTGAGTCCCTGCTGCCGGGGGGTGCAGTGCTGGGGTGTTTAGGTGGTTTCCAAAAAAAAAAAAGCCTGTAGCTGTGATACCTCCTCCACCCGCTCTTCTCCCCAGCCCTGTAGGCAGCTGTAGCTTGCAGG